TAAACACTTTCATAGTGTGCAACACAATCTGATGTCAGTCTTAAAGAACAAATCATATTTTGGTGTGTTTTGAGAGCTTAAGTTGCATAAAGGAGACATCTTTAAGCTGAGGTTTTCTTCACATATTTCTCCCAGATTCTTCCTAGGATTATTCCCATATTGCTGAGATCATGTACGATAATTTCATAGGATTATCTCCCAAAATGTAATCAACCTACTCAAAATATCAATACATCATCATTATTTGATATGCGTTACGTGTATTAACTAAGCACATATTTGAATATTTTTTACCTGTCGTTTGGCTATACGGCGGAAATAATCTGGTTTGATCTTAACATTGCCGCAATGGAGTTGTTGAGAGGATTTGGAGAGGTAACCGGCGTAGGTGAGGAGGAGAAAAGACAATGCGACGGTGTTTTGGAGCTGGGTGAAACTGGGTTTGTAAAGAAGACCGCCGGGAGTGTAAGTCATATGAGTTTTGCGAAAAAACGAACACATCATTTTTTCCGCTATATCCTTATACGGTGCAATCGCGGCCGCATTCTTCTCAAATACTTCCTGTATCAACAACAAGTTGTTCAAAAGGTATAGCTTAAAATCAGATAGTACCGGTTTTGTTTAGCATTAGAATATAGTATTATACATTTTGTAAGCATAGTAGTATATTAATTGTGTATTATGCTATTATACGATTAAGAGTTTTATCATATTTATAATATGACCCGTGATTTTTAAAGTAGTGAGAATTGGATCCAACCTTGGCATCGAGAACACTGACACCCCCAACTTTGTTATCCCATCCAAATTGAAATCTGTACTAAAAGATTGACGATTGTCCACTAAGTATATAATGTAAGAATCTTGACCGGTCGCTCTTCTCAGCCATGCAGCTCCCCATAATAACTCATCCTATATAAAACAACGAATGATCATTTATATTATTATATGAAATCAAAAACAAATCTAGACCGATTTAATGTTACATAAAGATATTCGAAAATGCAATATATTACCTTATATCCGTTAACACTACAATAAAATGGGCAAACAGCAAGTTTAACCCCTGGATTACTGGTATAAGAACCTCGATGTGAATCTGCGTACTTAAAAGTTTTTTTTAGCATTATTGACCAATCTTTTAGCATAATTAGGATCAGATCGTTTGAATGCGATTGATGCGGCCGCAAGGGCAGCTACGATTTCTCCAGCAAAATCAGAGGCCGAGTTTGGTGCTTCCACGGCATAAGCTGTTCGTGGTGTGTCCATATCCTCCGGTCTCTCCCAACACTGATGATCCGGTGTTGCTTCACCTACCTAAAACATAACCATAATCAAATTCTCAATAAATTTTATGAATAGTAATATATAGTCAGTTTAGTAATCTCCCTTTTTGGGAAAAATACAAAAAACGAGTTAATAGTTACGTACACATACACAGTGGCGGACCGAGAGAGATAGAGTATGGGGTACGTGCCACACACAAATTTTTTTTTTTTCATAAGTAATGAAGGAAAAAATTATGTAAATGCATGTAATCTAATATTAGTTACGGTAAATTACAATATGTGTCCCATAATAAATATTGTTTTGGATCCGCCACTGCACATACATTATGAATTTATACGATGAAATGAAAAAAACAATATATTAGCAAGATAAACAAATCATTATTTTTTTATTTACATTAGAAACCGGTGAAAATTAACATGTGTCAAATATTTTAAGAAAGACATTAGGTTATATATACGACATATAAACGACAAAATAAATCTTTATAAATATACTTTAAATTAGTGTGACCAGAAATTTTTTTTTTTTTTTTAAATTAGAGATTCATAAAACTTAACATTCGTCAAATACGTAAAATAAAAACAATAGGGTATAGTCACCGTACTTGGACAAAGATGCGATTAGGGAATTGAGAAACGGTCTTAAGGAGATAATCGGTACCCCACCGGACGGCGGCAAGATTGTCCCGGAGATCAGCCGGAGACATGTAACTTCCAAATTCCACAGCGCTCCACGCAAGCATTGTAGTCGAAAAAGCCATCGGAAAATGGAACTTAATGTTGTCTCCGGCGTCGTAGTAACCACCAACAAGATCAACATTGAGGTTCTTGCCGTCATTGAGTGCAGAGTTACGACGCCACGTCATCCTCTGTTCTTTAGGAAGATATCCCGAGCGTTGACCTTCGAAAAAGAGGATTGACTTTGTGAGAGCATCGGAATAGTCGTGAGAGATTGCCGTTGGTAAGATGGTGAGGAGTAGGAGAACTATGGAAGAGTAAATCGATGGCTTCCCTGTTATTTCTTTTAGGGTTTATTAGAGATGACTATGAATGCATGCTATATGTTTTTTCGATGGCCATCATATATGAACACTTTGAGATATAATGAAAACTTTTCTGCATGTGTCTTCGAGATATCATGAATAGGA